ATGTCATAAAGGCTTAGTCATGTCTCTTGACCAAGCAATGAGCTGGTGCCCTGACAACAGCACAGATGCCATGGAAGAGGATGTCATTGATCTTACAAGCAAGTGACAAGCTCTGTTCCTTCCAAGAGACCTTGGGGAAGAAATAGTAAATAGAAGAAGGCAATAAGCCTAATACTTTATTGCATCCTAATAGAAACATGTTGAGAGGAGGCTGAATCCGCCCACCTCCTAGCACCGGCTGTGAACAAGGGAGGATGGACCCTGTGTGCGGCTGTATTTGTACATGTGTTCACTCTCTTCCACACCGGACTACCAGCACAACGCCCGAAACTCGATTCAACTCTCCTCTTGTCACAATCCATGGCTTCTGCGTGCTGTACCAATTTCTGTGGAATCCATGCAAGAACTTTCTATGGCGTTCTCATCGGTTCTGCCCGATCTGCGGATCTCTCCCCAGTGGTGGAAGGTCTCTCCTGACCCTTAGGCAAAAGGAATTGAATGGGGAGAAGGACTTGGTCGCAAAGCTCACCGGCACGGTTTACTATACTTGCTGCGCAGAAAAAAATCTTGTAAAAGATTGCTTCCTCTGATGCAGACAACCTGGACACGACCGCATCAACCTGCCTCTTCTCCACTCGCACAGTACTTCTCTGACTCTCATCATTGCTTTGACCGAGGCCGTGGAAGATGTCCAGTCAAAATGGTGCATTGCTACCTTTTGACCATCTTCATAAAGATAAAGATTGGCTACGTGCTCAGCTTGACGCGTATGTAAAATCTTGCGACAAACCGTGAGGAACAGCCCTCCGTTTCACCATGAACCAGGCGTCAAACTTCTTGGAGGCTTTCCCTGACTATTGCGGTAACAAAGAGGACCTGGATCCCAAAGTTTGGACAGCGTTGACAGGTGTACGAAAGTCCTACCTCATCCAGCTCGATATCTAACCAGTGTGATGGTAGAAAATCAACGTCTGGTTCAAGAATACGAAACGCAACATGGGCGTGAAGACGATGAAGCTGGATATGTGATCACCCCGACAATATCCGACTTCTTTGCGAGCGCGACTGCTGATGGCAGAGAAGACAAAGGAATCAATCACCTTATCACCACCAAAGCTGTGGAGAAAATATCCATGAGCTTGGGGCGCGTTCTATGGTGTTGAAAGAGCTATGGAATGAGCTACCTGAGGAAGAAAAGAAAGAGCTGCTCTCTGAAGTGGAGGGAGAAAGAACAGCTCTACAGAACAAGAACGACAACAGCAGACCTGGCAACAGGGCGGAGTGAGATTCCCATTTTGCCAATGCTGCGTATGAAAGCCTCTGATATTGGGAGCAGAAATGTCACATGGCTGCCCGAAACATTGACAAGACTACTCCGAGGACTATCGGTGCAGACAGGCTGGTCTTTCACCGTGCTTGCGGGAGGACGACACGCGCCAGGTAATGAGGTGGGGATATTGATGTTCGATGAAAATCATTCCTGAGTGTACGACGATGTTGACTGGCACCAGATTGAGCGAAGGACGCACGTTAGAATCGGACTTGTCCTTTCAAGACTTTCACGAAGAGTGGGAAAAACAAGTGAAGCTTCCTTGGGTGGAATTCATCAATGCATTCGGTATGCAGGATATCCAATCTTATGATTGAGCTGATTGCTTGCATAGTGGGAAACGAACCTCGGTATGGGCGCTACGTGCCAAAGATCGTTACAGGTAAACACGGTATACTATGTCTCCCGAAGCCTCAGCCGTCTTGGACAGAAAAGAATTATCGCAACATCCTTTCAGGCTGGATGGAAGCGATGCGGGGTGAGTATTCGCAGTTGAACCTTGATCGGAAAAACTCAAGGGGTGTTATCAGAGGATGAACATAGCAGAGATACGCCATTCAGCGTCTCTCTATCTGCGGCACCCAGTCGCCTACTACCTGGATTATCGCAACAGGACATGCGCGGATGGAGTTTTCAGTTGCTCCTCAATGCATACACACATGTGCAGATGCAACTAGAAGAGATGGGAAGTGATTACAGCTTTTATCTGACTGGGAGCACAGTGCACAACGAGGGGGCTGAAGAGACTCTATCTGCACTTGATGATGGCGTAGAAGAGGATGGTAGGTGCCCTTGTCAAGGGATGCACCATGCTGATATGGCGCCAGAAGTTGTTTCTGAGAACATGCCGCCGATGTCCAGGGAAGTACCCGGAGAATACGATGAATCCCAATGTTTTACCCTGGACGACAGAGTCAGCTTATCAGGGAATGAGAATGAAGAAGACATGCAAACGGATGACTACAGTGATAAGGGATCCATTCATGAGTATGAGACCGGAATTCCCGCATATCCAAGGTTGGAGGAACGGCAGGCGTCTGACACACTGGGAAGGTTCTCAAGCAAAGAACTTGTTGTTAAAGCTCTATCGGCGAGGCGGAATACGGTTGACACAGGCCGAAGGATTGGCGAAGAAACCTTGTGAGTGCCAGACCTCTTAGGGCTTCTGTGATACTGATTCGAGCCTAGTGTACGACTGCCGTCGGCTCAAGCGAAGACGGCAACGACGAGGCGAATGCTGGGAGGGGCCGATCCGTGCGCGGTTTGCTCTAGTGTGGCTACTGCTAACTCTTTCTGATACAGGGTCGACATCGACATCAGCCCCCGTCAAAGGAGACGTCGTGAAAGGCTAGGTGAAGATGCCGACTTGGAAGATCCGAATCTGAATACCAAGAAGCGCAAGCTAAGTTGTGCCCCCATCAAGCAGGGGTACAAGAAAGAGAAGTAGGTCGCAGTGCATATCATGTGTTTGAGGATACTGACGCCACAACAGGAGCAAGAAAAACATGCGGCAACCAAGCACCTCACGCCAAAATGGGGACGGCAGGCGGGCAAAGAAGGTGTAAGTCTCGCTGGAAGACGCGGCTCTAGAATCCTGTAGGATCCGATTATTTCAAGCGGCGAAGCGCGACCTGGGATGATGTGAGCGTGTATCACCGCATTGACAAAGTATGATAAGTACAATAGAATGAACCATTTTTTCAACGCGGCTTGAGACGAGGTACACCAGGTGTAACGCGGGTGTTACACTGTGGTACTCCGAGTGTACTATGGGTGTACTATGGGTGTACTATGGGTGTAATATGGGTGTATGGTACTCCGGGTGTACCGTGGGTGTTGAGGAGGTGGAGTGCTTACAGATTACATGAGCTGTAAGACTATGTACACCGAGCTCAATTTCTCGGTTTACACCAAAGCACACTGAACCAGCACACAGAGCACACACTCCGTCTATCTTTATTCGGTGTAGGTACAATTACACCGACACCACCTAGGGATCGAGTTCAGTGTCGTACCCGTCATTCATCGCTTGAGATCAACACTGGAAAATCGCTTTATTATCGGGTTGGATTACTCTGAGCGACTGAAGTCGCTGGGGATCGGTATACGAATCTCACTATATGTGGAAGCAATCTTTGCCATTATACCAGTGGCCCTGCTCTCGCTGCTTCGGAAGGAGCACAGCGAGCTGTTCGCAAAGATATTCGAGGATCTGTCCCTCAATATCGCGACAGTTCTGGTGACTGGTAGTGCTCTTCTTATCTCGGCCTTCGTACAGGCTCGACTATACGACTTTGACCTCTATCACGCCCTGGTAGTGCTCAACTTGAGCTGGCTGAACATCATCACCATATTCCTCCCAATGAGTGTGGCGATGATGCAGAATGCCTCGAAAGGTTACAGGCTCGCAAGCATTCAATCTGCACCGACTTGGGCTTGCTTTTCTATATGTGCGCGGTGGGCGCATATGGGATTTGGTTGGCTTCCCACATCAGCGACTTCGGCTCCTTCCCAGAGTGCAATAGCACCATTGTCTGGGTTCTTGCAGGTCGATCGGTCTCAGCGACATCACCCAGATTACGCGCTTTTCTGCTGGCGATCTCGGCGATTGCTGCATTTCCAATGATCAACCTCTTTGCAATGGCACTGGTTACCATCATCTGCACCATCGCCGTAGCACCTTTCGTGATTCTCCTGATGCTCTTTTTTAGCATTATGAGGAAGTTCGGCCGAATGGAGCGTCACGAGGCTCCTTCGTCTCCCTTGTCAAGAAGGCGAGCAACCTCTTACTGGAATCATGTTCAGAATGCGTCCCCATCGAAATCTCCATTTTTTGGTCTTTTCGCCGCCGCAATCTCAGTGACTCCATCGGTCATCGCTATAACGAGTACCGAGCAGTTGATCGCGTTTAATCGGCCACTTGTCGGAGACGGCGAAAACGATTGGACCTTTGGTCAAATCCTCACTCTGCTGTTGCTCATTCTCCCAATCTGGCAAGTTATCGCCCGCATCAGAGAAGAAATCAAAGCGAGCAGCACTTCCGAGCCCGTTTCCGATCAAGAAGACGACGGCGAAGGAACTCCAAAGCAGTCTACTGAACCCTCACTAGAAAAGGGCCAAAACTCGTCTGCACCTGAATCTGGCCCATCAGGAGACCGCCTCCTCACAGTCATGTAGTACAGGGCTAAGATAACGCGTCTTTCAGTATTGTGGCCCAGTAATTTTTTTTGTGCCATGTAGTATGCAACATCTTGTCGACGGTGCCCTTGCAATGATATATACGCTCGATAGCTAGGGAGCCTTTATGGTTTCATAAGGGATCCGTGGCCCGGAACTCGCTCTCCTTTCCGCCTGACCGCGGCTGCACATGCCACACAGTCACCACTCACATTCAGGCCAATTCTGTGCCCATGCAAAGGGAACACTCGATGAAGTAGTTCGTGCCGCCATCGACAAAGGATTTCACACATATGGATTGAGTGAACATTGTCCTCGGTACCGCGACCAGGACCTTTACCCTGAGGAGGTGTGCCTTTCTCCCACCAGGTGTAAAGCACCGGCTGAGGAGCCCTAGACTGCAGCGGGCCTCGACCACCAAGCCCTCACGACCACTTATGAACTCTTTCTGAAGGAAGCCCATCGCTTGCGCGTGTTGTATGCATCGTCGATTGATCTCCTGGTCGGTATCGAAACGGAGTATATCACAGAGCTCGATCTGCAAGGCACTGCTCAGCTCCTCGCGCGAAGTGGGGATGGGTGCAAGATTGACTACGTCGTAGGCTCAGTTCATCATGTCAACGAGATCCCGATCGATTTTGATGAGCCGACATTCGAGCGTGCAATAGCGAGCTTCGGGTCAGCAGATGCGCAGGTCAACACAACTGCTTTCTTGTGCAGTTACTTTGACAACCAATACGAGCTCATGACACGTCTCAAGCCGCAAGTGATCGGACACTTTGATCTCTGCCGACTTTATCGACCGAACCTGAAATTCGAGGAGTACGAGAGTGTGTGGGAGAAGATCAAGCGAAACGTCGACTATGGGGTAGAGTATGGCGCGCTGTTCGAGCTCAACGCAGCTGCGTTTAGGAAGGGATGGGAGACATCATATCCAGGTCCCGACGTGCTGAATGTGCGCTTGACAATCACTTCCATCTGCGTCTCTGACATTGTTTCCCAGCTAATCATCCAATCCGGCGGACGACTCTGCCTGTCCGACGACTCACACGGTCCGCAAGCAGTTGGGCTGAATTATCATCGTCTCCCAGGCTACTTAGAAGCTGCTGGTGTGAAAGAGCTTTGGTATCTCAAGCGTGTGACAAATTCAGATACAAGTAAGGTAGAGGCCTGTCGGTACGAAAACGATTGGGCGTTAGATCCCTTCTGGACAATAATACAAAATTCTTGATTTTGACATTGATTCTCGTACAACATCCTCAGCAACCCCAAATACATGTTCTACAATACTTAGTTAGTAACCGCGATCTCGTGCAGATATGTACCGAGCAGCTTGGTCTAAAGAGGCGAACATAAGCAATGAGACGATGTAATGTAATATGACATATACGCACTCCTTCAATGTAGTTGTACGTATCAAGCTTCTCATTTGTCGAATGCGCGCCGTCATCGCCGCGTCCCATAGGCAGAAGAAGGACGTTCAATCCGAGAACGTCGGCAAAGGTCAGCGTGACAGGGATAGAGCCACCCTCGCGTGTCAAATCCGGCTTCTTCTTGTACACTTTCTCGGTCGCCTTGATGGCCGCACGATAATTCCAGTGGTCGGGATCAGCCCTGCATAGCCTGTTAGCAGAGCAGGATATCGGAGCACGGGATGACGCACATCCAAGGCTTCCCGCCGTGAATGTTCTCGACCTTGAGAGTGTTCTTTGACTTGAGCTTGGCAAATTCGTCGTGTAGGTACTTGACTACGAGGGGATCGACGTTCTCAGGTGTCATATTTGGCACCAATCGGATCGAGAATTTGCCTTGGAGATGATGAGCAAGGACTCCTCTAAACATTATCTGCCAGGCGCACCTTGGACCTTAGCAGGGATAACAGTCTTCGCCCCAGGACCGTAAAACGCGCCCTCGATACCATGCAGAGACAAGGATGGGTTGCGCATACGGCCCATCAGCACGCGTGCCTTATCGTCCGAGAGGACAATCTTCGCCCCGACCTGGTCCTCGATATCCTACACACATGATCAGCAAGTCCCAGAAGTGCAGATTGCCTGGGCACACCGTCAGGGCAAAGTCCAAAGTCTCATAGCGCTTCCTCTCGGTATCCGTCAGCGGGGCAACCAGTTTGTCCAGACCAGGAATCAAGATCTCCCCATTGGGAGTAACGAGCTTACTCATGAGGAGGATCAGGTCCGTCATCGGTTCGTGCACGGTGTTACCGAACAATCCAGAGTGCAGATCCCGAGCAGGGCCAGAGACGACAAGCCGGTAGTAGGACATTCCCCGGACGCCGTAGGTCAGGCACGGCTAGTGAACATGACCATCAGCACAAGGCGTGATCCAGAAGCGAGAAGCGAGAAGCGAAGAGCGCACCGTCCGGTCATTCATCCAGTAGTTATCACAAATACAGACACAGTCGCAGCTCTCAAAGAACCCGTTCTTCTCCCTGATGATCAGATCGTCCAGTCCCTCAGACCCACTCTCTTCCATGCCCTCGAAGCAGAACCTAAGGTTCACAGGCAGCTCAAGACCCAGCTTGACATGAGCCTCTATGATGTTGATCCAAGCGATAAGCGGGCCTTTGTCGTCTGTCGACCCGCGGCCAAATAGACGGCCCTCGTTATCCGGAGATAGAGTGAAAGGATCTGTGTTCCAGCCGTCTGTGACAAGCGCCTGCAGTGGATTACTGTGAGATAACATGTCGGATGAGGATGACAGACATCGAAGGGACGTACGGGCTGCACGTCGTAGTGCGCATAGAGCAAGATAGTCTTCTTGTTCGGGTTATCACCCAAGACTCCAAAGACCACCGGTGGGAGAGGAAGCTCACTCCCATCCGTCTGTTTCTCCATCCCAATATCCTTCAGCTCCACCTTGACACCAAGCGGCTCAAGCAGGCGCTTGATAAACCCCGCCATGTTGATCACATCTTGCCGATGTGAGGGGTCGCCGGACACTGAGGGGATGGCGACGGCCTCACCCAGACGGGCGATAAAGGCGTCCTTGTGAGCGTCGACGTACTTTATGAATTCAGTAGGAGCAGGCATGTCACAAGCGACAAGTGTGGTGGTCTGCAGTGGATCTTGTACAAAGCGGAGTGGTGGTATTGGACAGAGAGACGCAGGTGAACAGGGGAAAGCATGTGACACAATACAGCTCACCGGAACAACCTAACCTCCTTTCGTACTTCAACAATGCATCTTTGTTCACACAATAATTCGATCATGTCCTGTTCCATTGCATGCATATGCCGTATCTACGTCGTACCCACCTCACTCACCCCTCCCAAGCACGGCGACAACATCCCGCATCCCCGTCCCCGTCCCCGTCGTATCACCCACTCACTCAAGGTATCTCCCTCTCCGCTCTCCGCACAAACTCGGGAATGACAAGCCAAGCCATCACAGAACAGAACAGAACATATCACAAACAAAATTAACACGAAAAGACGTCGCCCTCCCCTTCCCTAAAACTGAGGAAGAAGAACCGGCACTTAAGCTAAATTACAGCACTCGCCCAAGGTGGGTCGAGGGGGAATCGTTAGACCACAACTGGTGGGTAGGGAGGGTTGGTGGACGGGGCCGCAGGTAGGTAGGTAGGAAGACGTTGGTTGGCAGGAAGAAAGGTATCGATTCGGTTCGCCAATGCCAGAGCACGGCCGGTATCTTCAACTTCGCTAACCAGCGAACCAACGTTCCCCCACCCCCCACCGCCCCGGCTGCCTCGTTTACTCCATCTTAACCAACTCCACCGCTCGGTCTACAACCTCCTCCACAGTCCACCTCTCTCCCTTGGGGATCCCATGCTTCAAATCGAGCAAATCTCCCACTTTGTCACACGCCCGTAACAGCCTGTCCACATCCGCCTTCGTATGGCTCGCAGACATGCAGAACCTTACTCGGGACGTAATGAGCGGCGTAGCGGGATAGGCGACGATGACGACGACAAAGGGGACTGCGTTGGGGTGCGTGTTCGCAGCGAGCATCAGCCGGGAGAAGACGGGCATCTTCCCCGGGTTGAAGATCAGCAGGGGGACGATAGGACTATCCCGATGGCCGTAGATGATGAAACCGAGCTTGCGCAGCCCTTGGGAGAGGTAGCGGGAATTGAACGCCAGTCTGCGGAGACGGGTTGCGCCTTCCTGCCCTGAGAGCAGGAGAGGAGGGAGATGCATCCACTGGGGGAGGATGGAAGCTGGTGCTGGGCCAGGGTGGACGTACGGTGCTGAGGCGGGGATGAGGGTGCCTGGGGCTCCAACGGCTGCGGGAGGGAGAGGGGGCGCGACGCCCATTATTGATGCCATGGCTGCTGTGAGCTGGGTCAGGACGGGAGGGGAGACCGACTCTGCGTAAGCGAAGGAATGGTTTATCGTGCGCAGGCGGTCTATGAGCACCTTGTTCCCTGCGATGTAGCCTCCTGCTGCACCGAAGGACTTGGTAAACGTTCCCATGAGGATATTGACTTCCCTGGGATCGACGCCAAAGTAGTCGCACACGCCACGTCCGTGGGGCCCGATCGCTCCAATAGAGTGCGCCTCGTCGATGTACAGATAGAAATGGTAGCGTTTCTTGAGTTCCATCAGACCGGGGAGGTCGATAAACGTGCCTTCCATACTGTAAAGGCCTTCGACGACTACGAGGATCTTCTTCCACGGACGGTGGGTGCGAGGCTGGCCCTGGGAGATGCTCTCGCGCAGGATCTGTTCGAGGGAAGACATGTCGTTGTGCTTGAACAGGCGGACCGATGCACCAGAGAGCCTGACACCAGTGCGGATGGAGGCGTGGTTGTACTCGTCTGATATGACCAACGAACCGCGGGAGACCATGGCAGGCAAAGTGGTGCTGTTCGTCGCAAAGCCCATAGAGACGACCATGGCGTCCTCCATCCCTAAGAAACGGGCTACAAGAGCCTCAGCAGCCTGGTGCAAGTCCTGTGTGCCTGCCTCCAGCCTGGGTCCGAGCGCGCTCAGCCCGTACCGACGGATACTCTCGTCCGCTGCGTCCGCGACTCCTCCAGTAGCCTGGGCAAACCCGAGGTAGTTGTAGCTCGACACGTTCAGGGCACGCGTCAGCTGACCCGTGAGCTTGAAAGTGACGTTAAAGTCGGGCGAAACACGGTTGTACATGAGGATCGTCCTTCCCGGGACGCCGGTAACGGGGCGGGAAAAGCAGTCGACGATACGCAATTTGAGCCGACGCGTGTAGAAGGAATCAAAGTCTCCGTTCAGGGCTGCGTAGCCATCGGCAGGCTGAAGATGCTTGTAATACGCGGGCCAGAAGCGTTTGCCAAAGAAGTCGCGCATGTGACCGATGGCGATCAGGAACAGGTAAGAGATGTACGTCGCGAGGAGGATCGTCATGGGCGGGTCCTGATGCTGGGGAAGGAGGCTGGTCCCTGGGCGGTAGGACGAGGTGTACCGATACTGCTCGTTGTTGCAGTAGCCGAACTCTGAATGGAGGGCCGTCGGAGGAGGGTCATTAGAGGTGGGAGGGGTGTCGGGTACCAGGAGGGGGTCGTCGTCTTCCTCAAGCTGAGCTGCGTGGGTTGTCGGTGTAGAGATGGTCGACGCTGCTGTGGACGCGAATGAGAGAGCAGGAGTGCTTGCAATGCTCGGTGCGTAATTCGTTCCTGTGGTATGAGCATAGGACTCACGTGCAGGAGTAGGCGAATGAGACCTTGCTTGTTCACGCGCGAGTGCATCGTCGTCCGCTGCTTTGAGAGAGGCGAGATACTCTTGTGCACTGGGAGTGAACCGTTGGGACGACTTTTTTGACAGCTTGAAGAGGCTTGAACCGGAAGAGGTAGGGAAAGCCATTGGGGATGGCATCCTGCACGCCCACGCAGGCAGGGGGGAGGAGGAGGGGAAGATGGAGTGGTGAGTGAGGAGGAGATGAAGGGGAAGTGAGAGGTGAGGAGTGAGAGTGAGGGAGACGAAAAGAACGGGGGCACAAACGGTCGTGTTCACTGTTTCTAAAGAAGGGCACTTTCAATCAGTCATACCTCATAACGTAAGCCGCTCCCCGTATTCGGCACCTTTCGGATTCAATTATAATAGAAGAACGGGGGCATTCGGAGTACAGCCACATTAGTACTCTAACCGTAAGCATTACTTCAGCGGGATATACCAGCCGCTCATTAATTGGTTAACTACAGCATAGACCTAGAGAGATAAGAAAGCCAAGCATCAGCCAAACTACGCCAACTGCGTCCACAGTACCAACTAAGCTTCTTAGGCAACTTGGCAATCCGTCCGCTATCATCAATTCCCTCACCTCCCATGACCACATTGTCAAACTCCCCCCAGAACTGGGGTAGATATCCACATATAGCAACAACCCATCCCGCCCGGACCCGCTCCCTCCTGTCCCTCCTTTGTTCCTAAATGACCCTGCTACAGCAAGGGTCCATGTCATCAATGGGTTCATTGATTGATCCCATCCTATCCCATCCCATCAGCACGCTCCTCGGCCCGCTTGATTTCGGCGGACAGCGGGGGTTGAACAGGCACAGGAGCAGTTGTCGGCATAACATTTCCACGAGGGGCTACAGGCATCGAATGGCAGACTCATGTTGTCGTCAAACGTTGGTTTCTGATCCTCGGTCTCTCTTTTCACAGTTCGCAGAGGGCCGAGGGAGAAGCAAGAGAAGAACCCAAGTCTATGGGTGTCTTTCTCTCGGCCGAAGCAGAAGCAGGCCTAGAAGACGGCAATACCTTCAAGTGCCTGATTTGAGCCTAGCCAGCGGCGAGATGCAAGCCTCAGAAGACGGCAACATCTTGGGCCTTCTGGATCAAACACAACCTATACTTTGGGGCTGCTCCACGCAGCTTCCCAACGCAGAAACAATTTGCAAAAGTGGCAACAACACTTTGACATCATCTCCCCTGCTCCTAGGAAGAGCAAAAAGAAGAAAAAGCTTTCAGAATGCGACAACGGGATACCGCACTAAGCTCTGGTCAAAGGCTGGACTGGACGAAGCAGCAGGTCTCTCGGAATACCGCCATATCTTTGACTGCATGACTCTTCTTTAGGCCTTCCGGGCTTATGGGTTCTCTGACCGCAGCACACCGGAACACAAAGACCTCGAGGACACGGGATCCTCCGGTCGAAAGCAGAGGTCTGCATCACGAAATCCTCGGCCGCCCCCGCTGCGCGGTCAACATTCTGATCCACATCAAGCACAAAGTTCAAACTACATTACGTAGGGCACTGCAGCATCTTGCTGAACTGTTTCAGCCGATGATATCTGTTAAATAACGAAAGTCTGGCTTACAGCCTAGTGTAGATACGCATGTAAACTGCTCAATGTGGTTCTTTGGTCATGGCTGACGAATGATCCCAAGCCGCTTCAGGATATCCAGCCATCGCATCCTACTTCAACCGGTCTTAATCGTCGACTTGGGCCGACTGAAATCATTCCGTAGCTGAACGAATTCTTTCTCGAGATAACGGTCGAGATAGGGAGCGCTCAGCTCACACCACGTACTAGGGGGATCCCTGCGTTTCTGGTCTCGTATTCTGGAGTTTCTTATGTGTGTCTACTCCTGGTCGTCGCTTAGAACAACTGTCAGCACGACATACAATCCTCCGAACGGTATATTGTCAAGGATGGAACCCCTGTCATGAGCTGGTCTGTTATGACTGAGTTGGGGGGCGGGGAGCGTGGGAGCTGGTCTTGACCGAGGAAAGATTCATTCCACAGGCTGAGGAGATCCCACCACACAGTCAGAACCGACTTGGGATCCCACTGTCTATTCGGAACTGGAGATCAATATGCACAACAAGACCATTTGTTGTCCGTATGCCAGTGACAGCACTGTCTAGGCAACAAGAGGTCTACTACTCCCTAATCGCGCTCCCGACTGGCAAGCGCATCCCACGGGAGAGCTACGTCTCTCTGCCCTGATCTGGGGATAAACAGAAATCCCGAGTCCACATCCTGTAAAAGCTGTCAATCCTGCTTTCGTCGACGGAGCAAACAGGCTCGTAGCGTATTGTTCTTCTCGAGCTTTCTCCGTCTCGACAGCTTATCTTCTTCCTCATACTTGCTCATGCTCTCCTTACTTGTGGATATCCTCTCTGGGATCCCATTCAGCTTCTCCTCTCTGTCTAGGGTGAAAACCACACCCCGCGTTCTCCATTGCCCTCCTGACGATCGTAACCACAAAAGCCGGTCCTGGTGCTGCTCCCTTTTCGTCTGTTGTGTGACTGTGAAAGCAGTGCTGGCAACTGGGCGAGATTTTCTGCTTCTCCTGTCGGAATGTGATACAAGGAAACAGCTTCAGGTCGGACATCCGGTCGTCAAGCATCCAGTCTTTGTTTCGGTAGGCATAACAGAGGAGTCTGGTGATGGTGAAGGTTGTATTTTCTGGTTTCTCGGAGGAAGAACCTGCCCTGTGCCTGACACAGACTCAGAATGAAAGAGCTGAATGCAGGAGTGACTTATAATATACAATCCTGGTTCAATACCTTTGTGTTCGATGGCTAGAAACGTCCTCCCACTCTTGCTGCTGTGTTAACAGACCTTGTGGACAGAAACACCGATCCGCCTGAGTCGTACCGATGAACTCTCTTGTAGAAAATCAAGCCTCGAGGACGCACATCTAAGACCTCCGTCCCAAGCCGCTTCTTTCCATTCATTCAATCGCACAGAATCCGTTTGGCTTCTGCCGTACATTGCTCTTCCACCGTATAAAATTCGGCAGGAACAAAAAACCATCAACGGCGTTCCAGCGCCTGGGCGGAGGTGTTCGTATCTCCTCAGGAGAATGCGGCCTTGCCGACGCGCGAGATCCCGGCTCGATACAGCTAGGAATCACCGCCGTTTCCGAGTTATGCTGGATAAGAGGTTTTAAAGAAAAATAAAGAAAAGCATAAGAAAGCGGGGGAAATCAAAACAAAACAAAACTTTGAGTATTAGGACCAACTGATTTCCATGGGTAAGTGAGAGACTAGCACCTGCGCGGTATTTTGGACATGAGATCAAACTTCATTCATTAAATGTTGTATTTTCTACAGAATGTTTCGAACAACGAAATATTTGAGATGCAGATCCATACCTAGAGCTCCGGTCACTAGTGTCCGTTCTCATACCACGATTCGGCGCCGAAGTCTTCAATCGCCAAACAAACTCTCCATGGTGTATCAATGTATTCACGGAATGAAAGCACAGGTACGGCGTTTCCGAGGCATGGCGATAAAAATCCAATTTTTTCCCCTTGGTATTAGGACCGCCTGTTGTTGATGAGTAAGCAAGAGACCCGCGCCTGCGGGGTACTTTCGACAGCCGATCGAATTCCAGTTACTGCATGCAATCTTTTCTAGAAGAGCCCTTCCAGAAAAACGAGAGAATCGAGGTAACAAGACCCGCGTCGTATTGGAATCGCTCATGTCCGGTCTGCCGTTCCAATCACGACTCAGAGCAGAAGTTCTCTGGTACCCAGCAGGCCGAAAATGGCGGGTTGATGCCTCACACCGCATGTTGCATTTGCTGGAGGGTGCTGACTTTCTGAGACAGCTCGCAGATGGGACAGTATCTGGTTCAGCAGCCAATAACACAATGACACTTAAACCCGTGGGAACTGGTTACCTCAGGACAGAAGAACGAGGACAAATGAACGACCAGTGACATGATCATACGACGACCCAGCCCGAGCCAGAGAGCGGAAATTGCCGAGTTCGCTGGACCATGAGCTTCTCAGGCGGTGAAGTGGCAGGAATTGTAGAGACTTGTATAGTAGTATACGGATGTTGTTATTGGCCGTGCGTTATCCGATAAGCTGGGTTGTGCCGAGTGTAGAGGATGCCAGCGAGTGAGGAGACTAGAGGGATTATTATAGCTATCAGAGCGACTCGTTCAAGGTAGGTTGGTTGCCTCCGATTCGACCCAAGATGTTAGACGAACGGACCAAGATCGACAACGTGAGTGGTCTAATCCTGGCGAAGAACCTGCAGAAAGAGATGAGCCATGATGGGAAAAGGGGCCAATTATAGGCCGCGTAATATGGGCGGGCCGAGGGGACGCGGGGTGATCCGTGGGGAAGAGTTCTGTGAGCGTGAAAAGGGGAAATTCGGGTATGAGTGTTGGTCAGAGGGGTGATGCACTGGATGTGCCATGTATTTTGTGACGGTTTAGTCAATTTGTAGATGTTGATTGGAATGTGTAATGATTGAAGCTGGGTGTAGATGACTGTGGAAGTGAGAAGAGAAGTGACATTTCGGCCGTGGTGGAGTGGACTAAGAAGTCGCCCGACGTAATCCGTTTACTGAGTCAGGGTCTAATTAGTATGAAAAATGTCATCTTCCAAAAGGGAATAAAAAATGTTTTGTGACCTCCATCTTTCTCTTATTATTCCTTTACTATTAAATAAGCTCCGGTTAAGAGTGAGGAGTGAGGAGTGAGGAGTGCTTAGTGAGGCGAGTCACAAGGAATTCCCTTTTTAAGACAACTCCGCCTCCATCCGAACTAATGGCCAACCTCCATATTATTCATTTACACACATCCGCTCTTCCCCGCTCTCTCCACCTTTCCCCGCTTCATAACATCTTCAACCGCCCTCACCGTCTACGCACTAGGACAATGACGACCACAACGACGACGACGGCAGCAGCCAACGGGCATGCTCATGCTCATCACTCACACCATAACGGCGCCTCACATACGCACCATCATCATCACCATGGCCCGCTTACGGAGAAGCATCTCAACCCAGCGATAGTATCAGCATCCTACGCTGTCCGCGGTCCACTCGCAACCAAGGCAGAACAATATCGAGCCCACATAAAGGCCAAGGGGGACGCACACCAGCTCCCCTTCAAATCCGTCGTCACTGCCAACATTGGTAATCCTCAACAACAAGGACTCGACCAACCCCCGATCACATTCTTCCGCCAGGTAGCAGCGCTCACAGAGTACCCCCCGCTGGTTGACGACCCCCGTGCGGAGGCGCTCTTCCCTGCCGATGTCCGTGCACGCGCAAGAGAGCTGCTCCAGGAAGTCGGCAGCACCGGTGCATACTCGCATTCGCAGGGCGTGCCCGCGATACGACAACACGTTGCGGACTTCATTACTGCGCGGGACAATCTCCCCCCCGAGCTGGCCAGCAAGCCCGAAAACATCTTCCTCACTGCCGGGGCATCCCAGGGCGTCTCCCTCATCCTCCAAATACTCAGTACGAAGCAGACCGGCATCCTCATCCCCATCCCCCAGTATCCGCTCTACACCGCCACGCTCGCAGCGCTCGATACGAACGCGCTCCCGTACCACCTGAACGAGGGGGATGACTGGGGGCTAGATCCTGCCAGTGTAGAGCAGGCGATTGCTGACGCGCACGAGAAGGGCATCTCGCCCCGCGCACTGGTCGTCATCAACCCTGGGAACCCGACCGGCAGCGTACTGCACAAACCGGTGATGAAGGCCATTCTGGATATCTGTGCAAAGAATCATCTCGTGCTCCTGGCGGACGAAGTGTACCAAGTGAATATCCACGACCCGACACGCGAATGGGTATCCTTCTCCTCCCTGGCGAGGAAGGAGCCTTCAGATCCTAAGATGGCGATCGTCTCCTTCCACAGTATTTCCAAAGGCGTGGCAGGCGAGTGCGGCCGCCGAGGGGGTTACTTTGAGTTACTCAACTTCCCCCCGGAAGTGACGGCGCAGATCTACAAGATGGCTTCTGTTGGCCTGTGCCCGCCTGTACAGGGCCAGATCGCAGTGGACTGTCTTGTTCGCCCGCCGAAGCAGGGGGACCCGAGCTGGGAACTCTACGAACAGGAGAGCACTGCCATCGCTCGCGCTTTGAAGGAGCGCACGGAGACCATGGTCTCCCGTCTGAATGCGCTCGAGGGGATCTCATGCCAGCCGAGCTCTGGTGCACTCTACGTCTACCCACAGCTTTTCCTCCCCCCGCGCGCGGTGGAGGAAGCGAAGAAGCACAAGCAGGAGGCGGACGAGTACTATGCTGAGTGCCTGCTTGACCAGACGGGGATATGTGTTACCCCTGGATCAGGGTTTGGGCAGAAGGAGGGAGAGGCGCATATCAGGCTGACGGTGCTCTGTCCCGGAGTGGACGAGTATGTCGGAAGGATAGAACGCTTCCACAGGGCGTTTATGCAGAAGTGGGCATGAGGTATATGTAATTCATCCGTTTTTTTTCTTGTATTTGCTTTCTTTTTCCTTTCCCCGGGCAGGGCGTATCTTACCAAATGGGTTTTTGTTTGCACCCACGCACAACTCGATAAAATTTAACAATAGTCGTTTTTCGCATTCAACGCGTGCAACAAGGTGAATTATGCAATGTGCTAGATGTACGTGCATGACCCTCCGGCTCAAGATTGTCGTCCAATGCCATCAAGGGGAGATCACTCCCGTCAAACGCAGGGGGACGACAAGCGTCGCGTTCTGCGCTTTGGGGCCCTTGATCCTCATCCATCTTCCCATCCTCGGTTCCTGGCCCAGAGCAGCAACGAGCACGATCGCCCGTCTCTGATCATTCTTCGGCACCCCGTTCACCCTTGCCTGTCCTGCCGGTTGCTCCTCCCGCGCCCATTCCGCTTCTTGGATCGTCGTCCAGGGAGGAGAGAGCAGCTGTAGGGAGTTGACAAACCCTGGTGCCTGTACTTCCGCTACAGGGGCAAAGGAGCGCACGTCCTCCGATATCTTCCAGAGTCTTATCCGCCCGTCCCACGAGCCAGAGGCGAATAGGTCTGAATAACGAAGCGAGGCGAGAGAGGTAATCCATCGGGGTGTGCGCAGGGGGCCTTCGGTAGAGGAGAGCATCTCGTTCAGTCCGTGTGCAAGGGGTTGTTTGAAAAGGGGCTTCTTTTTTGTTGTGCTCCAGAGGGAGATTGTCCTAGCATAGCATGAGCATGTGATTATGAGTTGGAAGGGAAACTTACCCGCTATCCCCACCGCTGAGGAAAGTGCTCTCGTCTACCATAGCCACGCATTCGAGGCTTCCCTCGATATACGACCCCTTCCCCTTCTCACTCTGCTCTGCGTCTTCCATCCCGCCTTCGAGGACCTCTCGCAGTCTGCTCCGGCCCCCACCTCGGAAAACAAGGTACGTCTCGTCAATAATCTTCCAGAATCGGACTGTTGTATCCCGACCACCGGAGGAGACGGCCGTCTCCGCCCGCAGAGCATCGATCGACGTAATGCCATCTTGGTGTCCGAACATGGTCTCGACGTACGCGAGCACTGCTGCGTCCCAGGACTTGACGGTTCGGTCCAGAGAAGCGCTGTACAATTGGGAGGAACCCTTACGGAACGTGACGCCCTGTAAAAGATTTAATGCTGTTCGAAGATTGATAGGACAAATACGCACTGTGATGGCATCCTTATGCCCACCCAGACCGCGCAACCACCGCCCCTCTTTCGCCTCCCAAAACCCAATCCTCCGATCTCTCCCACCACTCGCAAGATAATGACCATCGTCGCTCAAAGCTAAACTCAGCACCTCATCCACATGTCCGTTCACATCTTCGCCAATAGGAATCCGCGCCTTTCCTTTCCCTTTCACATCGGTCTTTTCCTGTCGCTGCTTGGGGAAGAAGGCAATTTGTTTTCCCGTGCGTAGGTCCCATTTGATGATATGACCCTCCTTCCCGGCTGTGAAAAGGGCGGTGCCATCTTGGCTCGCTACGGCAGAGGTCACAGGTAATCGGTGTCCCCTAACCTTGAGAAAACGAAGGGATGATTGTTCGGAGCTGACTCGATCGGCAACTCGGTCATGCAGCTTCCCCGACTGTTGCACCTATGGGTGATGTGTAAGGAGGCGACATGGAAGGCAGGCGAATGGTACGGACCACATCTTGTTTTAAACGTGCCTGAATGAGCTCTCGATCAATCTCCGCAGCATCAAACGTTCCTTCTTGTTGGGCAGCTGCATATACGATAAGCAACCTTGCATTCACATCCTAGAAATACAGACGCATACCTAGATCACTTTTGACGTTCTCCAGATACAATGTGGCCAATCTCAGCCTCTTCTGAGCAGGTGTCTCATTTTCGTCTTCGTCTCCACTCGAGCCATCCTCGTCATCTGGTCTTCGGAGGTCAATATCATCCAAGCCGAACCCGGTGTCTTCCTCGCGAGATGCCTGTGAGACAATGTCGGAGTCGTCGTCTCCTCGCAGTTTTGACGGGCCGGGTCGCGCCTTTCTGGGTTTACTGCTTACCGGGGCTCCCCGTTTCCTTTTTAGGCCCCTGGATAATGACGGAGGTGCCATAAAATCTTTCAATCAGCAGTTGGCCGTGGGTAGAGACTTTTAGAGGGTATATGGATGCAGGAATGTACTTTCGCGCGCCTACTTTTTTTGGCTCATTCGAAAAAGTGATGACACGGAACCATTTCATAAGGAAGCATAGCCACCCAGGGAAGGGTCCTCGAGTTGGTCGGCAGCGCACATTGACGCCGTGCCGACTCCGCGCCAGCAAACATCTCCGCCCTTTCCACTCTATGATCAAGACAGTCCGTCCGGCTTTCGACTGACCCACTTTTGTCGAGAAGCAGCCTTTGTCTTTTCAGATCTGAGGTCGTGTATGATTTTGCATTGTAATGAGCAGCGGATCTCAAAATATTGGTAAATGGAGTAATGTACGTTCGTTGACTCATGCGCCACTCATTAGCTCTCATGCTGATGGATGCGTTCCGCCATTAGCCCATCGCTGGAGTCGGGGCACGTCCCTCACAACCTGCTTATACGGTACCGGACGACTGGGATGCTGAACCCACGGAGGATAAAGGCAAGGATGTCAGACAAATATGGGAAGAAGCGTATGCTCTTCTCCACCGTATGCGTCGAGCATTGTTCTCATGTATTATAACAGAAATTCAAGGGCGCCAATGCCGCAAATTATCGTGACTGGAGGGTCTTCTCCGGCACCTCCTCCCACATCTTTTACCCCAGCAATGCGCATTCTCCAGAGGCCCCAAAGTGCTTCGCCGAAGGCTGCTGCGGCTGCCACACCACAGAAATCTCTGGCAGAGAGGGAGGCTGACTACAAGGCTGCCCGGCAACGTATTTTCGCGGCAAACTCCGAAGTACAGGCGACATCCACTTCTACGAGCGTCCCAAGCACAAAGACAAATAACACAAGTGGTACCGATAAAGCCCCGTCCTTGAAAAAACCTAACAGAGCTGAGAAGCAATCTGAGGCCGTTGTACGCCAACCTCGTGGACCAGGCTCTAACTCAGGCCGCGGCTTCAGAAACAGACGTACGCAGGGTAGTTCCAGAGGAGGCACGCCAAGTGGAAGTGGTGCCCAGAGCCCCTCGAGCCATGTAACGTCGCGTACACAAACGCCCGCACCTTCTGGTCACGGCGAGAAGTGTCCTTAGAGAAGATCCACGCGGACCCACCCGATAGATGTTGTCATTGTCTTCGCACGTTCCTACTGGTTTTCATTGGTTTGTAAGATATTAGTGTTCAATATGATTCTCAGTACGACGCGCTGTAATCGCCGAGTTGGATTGAGAGAAGCCAGCAACAGGGTTGTACTGATGTTGCGCACCGGGAACGTGCCAAACTGCGCTATTTTTGGCTTCTTTTCATTCGCTAGAGGTTGAGCCGAGGACTTCCACAGATTGCAGGCGATAACAGCTCATCCGTACGAGCCCATATGGTGGACTTCTCTGGGTCACGTTGTTATCGCCGGTTGTTGTTGGAGCAGGAGCATGGGCAAGCTCAGACAAATACCTTGGCCTTCGCTGAGACGTTGTGGATTCCTTGTTCAGCATCAACTCGTAAGGAAATTGAACTGTCACATTGCGAATTTTGCCGATAACTCGCCATAAGTGCCAAGACAGCTGCTAATAGTATTTCCGTCATGGCGCCAGCAAAAACAAACGATAATAAGTTCGGCGATACACTGTCGGAGATTACGTCATGAACAGGGTTCTTCAGGGCACTTTTTTCCCTACTAAGTCTTCATTGTTCTAGACACAATGGCAACAAGCTCAATCCTCGCTCCAGGCACGGCTCCAGTCAAGGCAGAGTACGAGCGGATGGCTATTCTTTATTTGAGGCTGATTCGTGTGTAAATCAGGTACCTCATATCGATTCAGGTGGTCGATGTGGTAGACGACGACGCTGCTGAAGGCGTCACAAATCCTGCTACAAATGATTTTGCAGTAACGAAAAGAAGTTCAGATGAGCAACCTGAAGAGGAACCGGAGCATAAGAAACAAAAACTAAGCAGCTCTCAAAGGCGTCGACTAGCCAAAGAGGAAAGGAAGGCAAAACGTGGGCAAAATAAAAATCGGCGATTTACGAAAGCACATGACGAGATTGATCTTTGCTGGAATGCTGGTCGTGGGATAAAGTGCCCCAAAGAAGAGTAAGTCTTCAGTGATCGCTTTCTGTCTGCGATCTTTGAGACTTGCTAGCTGCAAGTTTTCGCACGACCTGAAATCTTATCTTGAGTCGAAATTGCCTGATGTCCGGATACCCCGCAAGGGCGAGCTTTTGACCCATCCACCTTATGTAACTATCCCAGCTGAACCGGACAACGACACTGGGCGACGAGAAGGAATTATCTGTCCAGAGTATAGAGAACTTGGAGAGTGTAAATACGCATTCAAGTGTCGATTCCTTGCGGACCACGTCGAGCCAATTCCTGAAAATGAAGAAGACCACCTCGGGGTAGGTCTACGCATTCTATACGATGCTAACCAAGCAGAAATTGCGAGAGAAAAATTCCAGGAGCTCAATCGATTGGCCAGTCCTGGATTGCTTAAGGATTTACGCACGAAGAAGGTATGCACTATTATTCGCGAACACTTGCATGCTTACCAAGTGTTCACAGTATCCCACTCCCAAGTCGGACGAGTATCTTGCCTACCTGGCAACACTCCGTGATGATGCACCGACTGCGGGTGGCAGGGGTGCTGCCACCGCCAACGCTGACGTTGAATCCGCGGAGCAGACGATGGGAGACCAGTCCAAAATCCCCAGGGGACAGCATGAACACCACGAGGAACCTCAAGATACTCCTGATGTGCCTATGCGACCGGTGGAAAAGCTGCGTCTTCATTGGAAGAATCAGACCTGTACGTTCGCTTTACCACGCAGTGCAAGCCTATCTCAAGCGATTTTCTATCAGACCTTGCGCCCTTGAGCACAGTGGGCAACCTTGTAAGCAACGGTATTCCCGCTCCGTTATTGCATCAGGGCCTGACAACAGCCCAGCCTTTCCGTCGCTTGTGTGTAGACTATGGCGCTTCAATAACCTGTGCGGAGATGGGTCTCGCAGCCTCTCTTCTCAATGCCTCGAAGGCTGAGTGGTCGCTTGTGCGGCGCCACCCTTCTGAAGGCATATTTGGTACTCAGCTCGCCGGCAACAAGCCCGGTACCCTCGTCGCTGCCGCTGAAGTCATCTCGCGAGAGTGCCCCAATGTTGATTTTGTCGACTTGAATTGCGGATGTCCCATCGATCTGGTGTTCAAATCAGGGGCCGGCTCAGCCCGTGGGTTGTTCCCATCGGTCTACGTCAGAGCCCCTAATTGCTTTGGCAGTGTTGGACCAACAGAGTAAGCTCTCGAAGATCCTCGTTGGAATGAACCGCACGTTGGGCGAAACACCTCTCACGATAAAACTCAGAACCGGGGTGAAGGATGGAAGGAATTTGGCCCATCGTTTGATGCCTCGCCTCCACTCCTGGGGTGTCAGCGCGGTGACGGCAAGTTGGCGAGTCCCGAACAAGTACTTCGGCTGACATAATCGGCAGATTCACGGCAGATCCCGTCAGCAACGTTACAGCAAGCTGGCAGATTGGGACTACATTAAAACATGCGTTGACGTGCTCCGTGCGTCAGAAGCTGACGAAGGATGTACGTCCTTCGGGAGAACTGAGGTCTTGGACGCTAATCTCTGTTATCGTTGATCTAGTATCGCCAATCCCCATTTTTGGCGGTGGCGATGTTTACTCGTCTCAGGGGTACTGGGAGTGCGTCGAACAGAGTGGAGTGGATGGTGTCATGGTGGCAAGGGGAGCACTCATCAAACCCTGGATATTCACGGAAATTAAGGAACGCCGCGAATGGGACATCAGCTCCAGGGAGAGATTGGACATCGTCCGGCAACTGTGCGAGTATGGCCTAACACACTGGGTGCGTTGTTGCACGCTTGTGTATTATACGTCATGTCTGAATGTTCACTGTAGGGGACAGACACGGCAGTAAGAGAACTGGTCAAGACGTGGTCGGAGCTGACAGGATTTTTTTGTGTTTTCAGGGCGTCAACACCGTGCGGCGCTATGTCTGCGAAGCGTTGTCGTTCCAGCATCGGTATATTCCGATCGGGGTTTTGGAGAGACCCATCGGGAAGCTGAATGAAAGAGCTCCCGCGTACCACGGGAGAGATGAGCTCGGTAAGTGATCAGATTGGAAGGCGAGACGATAGCTTATGGGGCGTGGTGTGATGAAGAAACATTACTTGCAAGCACTGACAGCAACAAGTGGGTGGAAATCAGTAGTATGTTCCTAGGACCGCCCCCCGATCAGTGGAAATTCGAGCCAAAACATCGCAGCAACAGCACATCGGAAGAAGGCAATGGATAGCATGATAAAGTCCGAGGTGCCGATGAATATGATTTTGAGAAGAAGAGGGTGCACAAGCGAGGGCGATATCGACGTCGAGTATCTCCCTGATTGCAGGGGAAAACCCCTCGTTTGTTCAGGTGTTTCATAGTGATTGTAGGTTCTCTAAGAGGCATCGAGTCGAGCGCCCCCCCCCCGCAAAGATGTAGTAATTTATGTTGCCGATTGAATGGATTTTAAATTACGGAGACAAGAGACCTAAACCCTGGGATGGTATTGAGAGTGCGGGGAAGGAGTCCTCGGAGGACGCGGGGTAACAGGGACGAGGACGGAGGGTGAGTCCGGGCCGACCCGAGCTTGGGAACTTTGTGCCATAATCAGAATATCGGGAGCGCCTGATGAGGTTGGTACTTGGCCCACGGGATCTCTTCCTCAGTCTTGTCGGTAGTTGTTGAGTGGGGGATATTAGAAGGATGCAAGATCGTTGTACGAAGGTGATATCGGGGGCCAATGAAAAGGTTGCCGAATGACCGGTTAAAAGAAGTTGTGTAAGAGATGAGGGGGAACCCTATGTAAAAGTCTTAGACAATTTAGGTAGTCAGCTCCACTGAGACATTGCCAGGGTCAGGCGATCCTCCCACGAACGAATCGGCCGTCGGTGTATTTGGTCATTTTATGTTGCCCCGCCCTTTTCCCCTTTTCAGCTTGTGTTTACATTTCTCTCTTCCGTGTCTCTCTCTCTCTGTGGTCTTTGGAAGAAGGGAAAGTGCCGGTGTTTCAAGACGGAATCCGCCAGCAAAGCCCCGCGCGCTTATCCCTAATTCGGTAAATCGGTGTCGTCGTCTAGTCCATCTGTCACACTCTTCTCCCTTCCACCACCACCATCATCTTCGCGTGCTGCCATCTAATCCCCTCCTCATCCTCCTCCTCATCCTTCTTCTTCCTCTTCTCTGCACGCGCAAAAAGTCCGTGGTCTACCACCCCTACAACCAACAACCTCCCCTGTCCCCTCCGACCCATCATCCTACAGCCCTCTCCCAATCGCTGACGCACATACGTGACGTGGACACTATTTAGTCCCCTTTGGGTCCACCCTTCTGCTTCCTACTCACGCTCCATCCCAAAGCATCCTCTCTATCCCCAGTAAACCAGCATTTGAGCGAGTCACTACCTCCCTACCGCCAACGATGGACATGAACGGCACTCCCCTGGTCAGGTTTCAATCCTCTCAGCAAGCTCAATCCGAGGCAGATGATAGGATCATCAGGCGGCGAAGTTCAAAGGGTATGGGTTTTCGCTTGCGCTTCTCCCCCATCAGCGCCACTTACATTTTGCTGAACTATTCCTCCAGCATGCGACAACTGCCGTAAGGCAAAGTGCAAGTGCGAGCCCACCGGCCCGAACCAACCTTGCAGCAATTGTGTCTCCCTCCGTCTCAGTGAGTATCTACAACAGCTCCCTCTTCTCCCCTCCTTTCTCACGTCGGTGAAGCATGCACATTCCTCGGTCCCAGCCGCAAACGCGGGCCTCCAAAGGGCTACATCGACAAGCTCGAGGCGAAAATGCACCGGCTCCAAGCCCTCATCGGCACCATCATGCTCTCCGATGACGCCCGAGCCCAGTCAATTGTCAACGACTTGTCCGGCGATCCACTCGCGCGGGAGGTGCTGGCCCAGGTGGAGGCGAGCCCTTTCGGCTCTGCCGGCCGCTCGGGTCACATCCCCATGCCGAGCTTGCGGTTTGATGATATGGAGGATCAGCTCGGGCTCAACACCATTCAGGAAGAAGGCATGACTCCTCCCAAGGTTGGTGACAATGCGACTCACCATGATTTAGGCCCCTCCACACACTTCACTGCGTCCGCAAGCGACTGGCAGAACGCTCTTCATGCCTGCTTGAGAGGTACGTCATGTCTGCAAAAATTCGCAGAATGATATTCATATGTATGACACAGGCGGCACCTCTGGATTACCTCACTTGGACCACTTAGACACAGCCATTCCGTCCATTCAATACCCAAATATTTCCCCCGTTCCTGATGATGGTACGAGCCCCCGCCAGCGAAGGCGACTTGATGCACCTCTGCGTTCCCCGCAGCAGGACACCTCTCCCACTGGCTTCTCCCAAGGGAGTGGTAACAGCCTGGGCAACCAGGCGGGTGCGATCTCGTCGCCTTCGCAGCCTCATCGGTACAGTGAGTCGGATCTCGGGTTATCTTCAGACCGAATTATGTTTAATGCATTCCGCAGATAACGAGAGAGGTGACTCGTTCCGAGCAGCTTCTCCAGATGATCCTACGCCATCAGAAGATGGTGACGAGAATGTAGACTTGGCTGACGTCGTCGGCCAGCTTTCTATCGATGAAAATGACCAAGTAGGTCTATTCAATGATGACGGAGGCATGCTGTACTGAATAAATGATGTCAGGTCCGCTATCATGGGAAGGCGAGTGGCTTGCACCTTCTGAGCCGAAGCGAGCGTCACCGGGAGGGCATTTGGTGAGCTGATGCGACTGATCCGGTTCCCGTTCGGCGCTTACTTTATGATAGGCGTTTCCCCCCCGCGCGCGTTTGGCCCCCTTCGGAAAATCACGTTGTAAAGACTGAGGAAGAAATCCTGAGCTCTGCAAATGCTCGTGACTGCCTTCCCTCTCTCTCTCAGCAACAACACTTGATCGACCTGTACTTTACCTATGTCCAGCCCGTCCTGCCGATCATTCCCAAGAGGCAGTTCATGGAGCTCTTCCGGGAAAGAATGGCGTCTAGCGATGCCAATTCTCCGGCTGATAACGTTCGCGGGCGGATCCCCACGTTGCTTCTCCTAGCCATGTTCACCGTGGCTGCTCGGTACACTACGACGGACACCCCGTTACCGATCGATGGGAAGATGTGGAATGCTGGCGACAAGTATCTCACCGCAGCCAAGCTTATTCTCAGTACGGAACTCGGTACATTATTTTGGCCTTATCTGACGGCTTCCTCCAGATGAGAAATACGCATCGAGTCAACCTGAAACGTGCCAGGCACTCATTTTGCTCAGCTACAGGGAGATAGGTATTGGGGCAATGGCGCAGTCTTTCCTTTACACTGGTGCGTTCCTCGGCCACGGATCTGGGATCTCGTTCTGATGAATCTTAGGAATGGCCGTCCGGATGGCTCAGGATCTCGGTCTTCACCGCTCGATGGAGAAATGGGTGCGTTTCAGCTGCTCGTGCACCCAACGATTCTAACAATTTCTTGAAGCACCCGGCCGGGCAGTCCCGTTTCACAGAAGAGGAAAAGCAGACCCGTCGCCGCATCTGGTGGGCCTGTGTTATCTTGGATCGATATGTGTCGACCTACATCGGTCGCCCCATGGGTATTTTCGAACGTGACTACGATACTGCGCTTGCTACCGAAAATGATGTAAGCAAGCAGTAGGATGAGGTGGATCTGACCTGACCTCGCGTGTTCGCACAGCCTGAAGAAGTTGAAGTCTGGCGACCCCTCTTCGACGATGCGGGTTCTCCTGATGCGTCAACAGCCGGCCGCCGTTTGACGTATGAGCCAAAGGCTTCGCATGCGTTGGCCTGCTTCAATGCCTCGGCCACCCTCGGTGAGGAAATGTGCTGCGCAGTTGCGTCCAAACCATTCTGATCTGTTCCCGATAGCGTCGATTCTCGGGCGCGTGTACGAGAACCTTTACACCATCAGGACTAATGCCGAGGGAGCGGCTGGAGAACGCATCCTCAGACAATTGGACAAACGCCTCGCTCTTTGGCTCATCAATCTCCCGGATTCGTTGAAGTACCAACCATCAAACACGAGTGTCCCGCCACCCCATATTCTCACGCTTCATATGCAATTCTACTGCGCGTTGCTCTTGCTGCATCGTCCGTTGTGAGTCTTCCTGCCCCATGGAACGAGCCACGTGTTTATTTTTGGCTCAGTATCACTGGTGAACGACTATCTGCACCTGTGGACGATCTTCCGTCTCGTGCGATCTGTTCCACTGCTGCCAACGCCATCAGCACCATCAGTACGTGTCCCTGATCACAGATCAGAAAGTGACCCTAACAGTGTTTTTCCAGTTTCGACGTTCAAAGAGGCGTTCGGACTGAAGCGGTGTCCCGCAATATGCACGTTCTACGTCTTCAGTGCCAGTATTATGCATGTGTTCAATGGTACGCAATTCTTCGGAATACTGAGAAACTTGACGTTGAACACTGGCGCCAGCTACGGTGGATCCCTCTGATGTGCAGTCCCGTGTCAATCTTGCTAAATGCATGGCGGTTCTAGGAGAGATGGATGTGCGCCCTTTCTTGTAAAGTCCGCTTCCGTTTGCTGATTGTTCTTCAAAGCTTGTTTGGCCAAGCGCAGGACGAGCAAGGGAATTATTGAATGGCCTTGTCGATCTTCGGGATGTTGACCTCTCGCGGCCTCCTGGTCATCCTGAAGCCCTCCGAAGCTCCAATAAACGCGCATATCCAGATGATGACGAGAGAAGGAGTCACGAGTTGGCTCAGCAACTAAGTAACGACGCTCGCTATCTACTAGCCAGTCGTGAAGATGCGCTCGGAGGCCCAGCCATGTGGAACATCTCCGGTCCGACATTACATAATGCTACCCACCATTCCGACTCTGCTTGGAATACTTTGCATGGTGCAGAGAACGGTGATCGTTCGCTGAGTGTCGCGCGGTCCTCCGAGGACCTCCATGGTGCCTTGACCAATTCTGGTTATGCCATGTCCAAGTCAACACATCCTCTGCAAGCGCCGTACCCCTCGGCCGGCGACAGCCACTCCTTAGGATTTGGTTCTCCTGAGAGCATCTCCAATGTGTTCCCCCCCTTCTCACCACCTCGAACATCTTCGTTCTGGAACGACCAAATGGCTATGCCTTTCGGAGATCCAGCACTCGCATCCGCCTTCATGGGCCTGCCAGTCAATATGTCTCACATGTCTGATTTCTCAGATGTCCGAGGTGACGGCCTCTTCATGCAGTCGCTCGGAGAAAGACCAGGAACTCCCGAGGGGGACGTGCCCACGTCCTATCATCTCCTTAATAGTGAGTTCGTGCCCCTCTCTGCAGACTGTGCGGAATACAGCTAACGCGTGATTGCCTGTAGGTCGTGAGAGGCAGTTTACTGCCGGAATTTAATAAATGCACTATGCTTTGGACCATATTATATGCTTCTCTTTCTCCATCTTATCCTTCTTGGGGATGTACCAATAAGCGTAGTAATGCGTCGATAGCTATATTTCGGACTGGCTTCTTGGTCCTTGGCTCGGGGGAGAAGCTTTACACTATGTATCATGCTGTAGAATCAGATTAACGGCGAAAAAGTGTACGGAACCAAAAAGCCCGTGTCGTGCGCGCATTTCAGAAGCGCAGTGTTTGTTCCTCTGTCCGTGACCATTCTACGTATGGAGCAGGAAAAGATTGACCAATTACTAGCGCTCGCTCTGGAGGGTGTGGACGAATTCCGAGCTCGATGTATGAACGGGATCTGTCTGGCTAGCGTGGTGGATTGTTAACTGGACCTCAGCGGTTTTACAGAACTATAACTGGAACCTGGAAGCGGCGGTCAATAGCTTGCTATCGGAGGTTCATAATGAGTACTTCTGGTTGTTGGACAAGACTCAATCTGGTCTAGAATCCTGTGATTGACTCTGACCCGCCACCTCTCATCGATCTCACAGTCCCAGACGCGGCCCCTGCTTTTCAACCTTCTGCACCTCCCACGCCTCCCTTTCGGAGTGGTCGATATTATGATGCAGTCTCTGTAAAACAAACCGATAGCATGACAGATAATGCTGTAAGTCACTAGTTTTATCTATCTATATGTGTGTTTCACCCAGGCGGAATTCAGCAGGCAAGCGAAACAACTGATATACCCCGGCTTCGCCCAAGCACACGCAAGGATCCGAAGAAGCAGGAATGGGCTGTTGTTCCAGTAACTGTACGTGCTTTGGAATTAATAATCTCTTTTGCTGAAAACCCATCAAAGACGACTGCTCCATCACAGCCGCAAGTGCGGCAACAACAGGAAGCATCGGATATCGATAAAGCAATCCAAGCCAGTCTGAATGAGACTTACCTCAAGGCCCCTCAGTATTCTGATCCGCCGCCATCAGGACGAATACGTCTACCAGATCAGTGAGAGTTTGAAGGCTGATATCTAAGATTTATCAAGCTTAATGTTGTGTAGGCCAGTTTTGCTGCGGCTAACGGAGCCTCTTCAGGGCGATGCACTTATTCTACAAGCTTTGTACTCAGTGCCGCAGATACGAGACACCGTTTTGGCGTACCTACCTGTGCCGATCGAGACGTCAATTGCTGATAACTACTGGCGGGGATTGGAAGTGTACCCTGCGGAGGATCTTTCTCTGGGCATACCGCCTACAGGTGAGGGACGAATCGTCATGCAAACGATGCTGATGACTTGTCACAGTACAGTGCATTCAAAGGCTGCAAAAATTATTTTCGGTCATGTCTCTCACCAATCGAAAGTACTTGAATGTTGATGCCATTGTCGAATTCCTCCGAAAAGGAGAAGAGATTGAATATCCCTCGGGTGGGGAGAGCCGAAGTAGTGAGTTCCTGTGGGCCACTATAAAGAGCATGGTTGAGAAACAACAGGTCTTCTCAAGACCGTTCTGAGAGCATTTGCGGGAGAGGCTATTTCTCGACCCTATAAAATATCGCCGAGGTTAGCGATGCCCTCTACTCTGCAAAGGGATTCTGTTTGACACAAGCTCCCAGGATCGTGCGCAGTGTCCTCAACGGAGCTGATTCAGCAGAAATTGACGTCATCACCCTTCATCCAAACAGTCAGCACAATGCCCTATTTCCGTGCTTGTACCAGTCATTATCGCCCCGTGCCTTTTCCGAGCTCGCGGAGGTTCTTGTCTTCGAAATTGATCGATCCCAAGCCGAAATAGGGCATCAGGGCAACAGCGAGCGACAATTGTTTACGTACCCCAGCGAAATCTACTTAGATCAGTTTATGGCCTCGCACGAGTCTCGCGTCAACGAGCGCATGGAGAAGCACAGGAACGCCGAATTGGACCTACAGCTTTTGAAAGCAAAAAGAAAAGATTTGCTTACCCCGCATGTAATTGCACTTGTGACAACGCCCTCAGTCAGATGCTGATGTGTGTAGAATGGGGACTCCTTGAAAAGTATCCACGCCACCCTCGAATATCTGAATAGACACATTGGCACAGCGGATCCCGACCGACAAGCATCGCTGCAAAACCTGGGAAGTCGCCTTCGGGCTGCCGCAGACATTATCCAAAGGGAATCAAAAGGTATAGCCCTAATCAAAAAATTCACGGCTCCATGGTGACAGCACTGATGGATCGGCATAGCGATGGATGAGCAGATATCCAAAACAGAGGACGTTATGTCTACAACGTTTACTGTATCGGAACCGCAAAATCAAGGAGTAACACATAGTTTCATCACCTGTCTCGCCTGCTTATTATTGTTCAGTATGCATTGCGGGCCGTTATCATTGATGATGGACAATATGGTCGAACACACAGTTTCGCGTACGTTCAAGCATCAATAGGGGCATGGCACAAGTTCAGAGACCTCGAAATTGTCCCTGTGGGTAACATCCACGCACGATGATTCCTCTCCTTGACGATCATTTATGAAGGTAACCGTAAGCGACGGTCTACGGGATGCAACAGGCCTGCACCTCGGCGGTGGTCCTACTATGTTGATTTATAGTCGTGCTACAGTCAAGGAAGCGCTTGAAGAGCTTTCGCCAAGCGAACTGGTCCAAGAGCCATACAGGGTAATGCAAGCGAGTCATGACTGAGGTCAATTCTTATTTTCTAACAAACAGGCACCAATTTCCAAGGATAACCAACGTTTCGACGAAGAACTGTTAGAAGGTAATCAACCAACTCGAGTAGGGCCAGACCACGATTCCAAGTCCGGTCCAGCATCTGCTGTTGGAGAAGCCCCTAATAGTGGTTCTGAGCAGATGGATATAGATAACCCACCAGTCTAATTTATCTGGGGTGACATGGGTCGTTGATTCCATAGTAATGAGACTATGCTGTGTGCTGAATCATGAACCTCTGTCTCCACCGACGATTCTCTCCAATTTCGCCTCGCATATGACGACAGCTCGGACTCTCTGCAAATCACGCTGGTCGTGGATCGCAAGCTCAACGTCTCCGAGACGAAGGCTAGAACCCCAGATAGAGTCTGTGTAACAATCCACAAGGTGAAATCGGCGGAGTGATTCTAAGCCAGTCGCATTGTCCGCCACGACAGATGCGGATAAAAACACGGCTTGAGAGAGGACGATGGACCGCAAGACAGGATGAGGATGCTGGAGGAGTGCAGAGACAAATGTGTCGATATCCCTTTCTTGGGGGAAAGCGATGTGGGAAAGATGAAGACTATGAAGTGTTGTCCAACCTGCTAAACCGATGCACAATTCTTTTGCTGCCGTCGGTACAATCTATCGCACTGTGTCATTACCAATGTGTGTTTTTTAACTGTACAATATGAACGAACCGCCGTTGACCAGTGATGGGGTGGATCCGGTCCCGACCAGCAAAAATCCAGAGGACTTTCCAGACATCAGCCCACCGCACCTTCTAATAGCCTTTGCAAGCGTGCTTACTCTATAGAGGTCATTGCTTCTCGGATCAACGAAGGGAACGGATCCAAAGCATGCGAATTGAGACATAACGCGATCTGTTGCAGCTGTTGCGAGCGACATTTACGCCAAATATTTGACTTTCAGGACGGATAGAGGCACCTCCAAGCAAGATGCTGATCAATCGAGTGGTGGCATACATCGGGGAACAACGCTGCAAGAAGAGTTGCATCTGCCGCTGACTGGAAAATCGAAGATCGCGATCGAGGACAGATAAGCCAATAACGCACCAAGCTTTTGAAACCGCTAGAACATCTGTGGAGGAATTCCTATCAAGTAGACACCAGTTCAGTATTTCTATTAAAATCTCCGTAGGAAGATTGTCCATGATGGAACGAGACTGAGAGTGTTGTCGGTGAGAAGGCGCAGGGTCTTCTGGGAGGACGAAAAAGGACACGTGATTTCACGCGTGATATTTGAACCCCCCTATCAATGGCATGTAGAGATGACAACAGCTTGAATACGACGCCCTCACCCTATGTATTCATTTCATCGGCCTTTTCTGCGTTATGAAGGATTTCCCAGCACACTGCGCCTGTTCCACTCTGCAGGATGCGCCCACATGCCCACCCCTTTTGTGAAGATTGTAGAGGTCGGACCAAGAGATGGGCTCCAAAATGAACCGTTTCCTGTTGCCGTACAAACAAAAGTTGAGCTGATCAATCGATTATCTGCAACGGGTCTCAAGTCTATCGAATCGGGCAGCTTTGTTTCTCCAAAATGGATCCCACAGGTAATTGCACATACTCCTGTCAAGTGATTAGCACTTATACACTGCCTGGCGACTGATCAATAGATGGCTGGCACGTCCGAAGTTCTTCGGCTGATTGATCACAAACATGGAACATCATATCCTGTGCTGGTGCCCAACATGAAAGGACTTGAGGGTCTCGAGGTCCTCCTGCGCGAGAATCCTAGACAGCCAGTGAGTGAAGAAATCGCAATCTTCACCGCTGCGAGCGAGACATTCAACAAGAGGAACATCAACTGTACGATTGCCGAATCGTTGGATCGCTTTGTCCCTGTTGTCGAACGCGCCATTGAGCTCGGTCTCCGGGTACGGGGCTACGTCTCAACGGCAGTCGTTTGTCCATACGAGGGATATATCGAACCCGAAAAGGCACCTGGGTTCATATTCAAATCATCACTGTTTTATGACATGTTATCTGCCAGGTGCGAGACGTAACTATTAAACTTCTGGAGATGGGATGTTATGAGGTATCGCTGCTCCACTAGCCGGAGGCCATGGTATTCACACTGTGGAACAGGTGTCCTTGGGCGACACCATCGGAGCCGCAACTCCGAGAACCATGGAGAGGCTTCTTGATGTTGTTATGGCGGCAGTGCCAATTGAGATGCTAGCGGTGAGCACCATGAACATTCCTGGATAACCTTGACGGCTGAGTGTGATCCTGATCTCATTCAGGCACATGTAAGAAGTTTCCAGTTTGATTTGATATCGGTCTTACTCCTGTTTGCCGTAGAACCATGATACCTACGCTATGGCTATAGCCAACGTGCTCACAGCTCTGAAGGTTCGAGATCCAAACCCGAGACACAATTCGAGGCTAATGACCTATCATCACATCTGCAGATGGGGATTAGAACTGTTGACAGCTCCGTTGCAGGGTTAGGGGGCTGTCCATTCGCACCTGGCGCGACGGGGAATGTTGCAACTGAGGTACGATTACAATGCCTGCTATGAACAAAGGTGGACCTTTTTCATAGGATTTGGTGTATGCATTGCGGGAAGAAGGCTACGAAACTGGAGTGGATTTGAATAAATTGAGCACAACAGGACAATGGATTTCCAGCATCCTGGGAAGGGACAACGGGAGTAGAGTAGGTAAAGCTTGGCTGGCCCGAAAGAAACTTCAATGAGGCAGAAGCCTTACGACTAGTATCGCGATGTCTCGTATATTCACTTCGCGTGGTTCCACAGGCATGACTCTTCATCGCATTGCTTGGCAGCGTACGTCCGCCCAAAGTCGCTCCAGGGATCGAATGGCAGTTGCAGCAAACTGAGTCTTCTAGACGAGCTGGTCTATCGTCATTGGGTAAATGTCGAACAAATCCAGTTACGATGTACCACCAAAGGTTTGATCAACTCCGCCTGGCCCAGATCGATACGGCCCGTATAAGGAAATAGCTGATTGTTGTACCCCCTGTTGAGGTGCAAACCCAGGCCCAGACCAGATATTGGGTCCGAATAAAATAGCGGGTTGCGATACCCGTGGTGAGCTCTTCACTGAAACAGCTACACCCGCCGTGACAGCTCTTGGTGTGCCTTTCGGAGTTGCTGGCTCAGGCAGCCCCAACACTTGCAGAAGCAAGTCCTGAGCAGTAGGACCTGAAAGTTCAACTGCATGATTTTCCACCGGCGCCCTCGGAAACAGTACGACATCTTCTTCCTCTTCTTCAGCATCTGTAAGAGAACTCAATCCTAATCCGACGCGCATAGCCATGTTCACAGGATCGTCGGAGGTAGTGGTGCTGACATCGTCATCCTTCTCTGACAACACAACCGGATCCGCTTGTCCAGCCACATAAGCTACACCCGTGCGTTTAGGCTTTTCGTCAAGCTTCGGTGTCCACTTAGCCGATGGATCATTAGAACCGAAAAGCAAGTCAGAGGGCGTCAGCGGTGTAGCCTGGAAGAAATCAGAGGGAGAATGATAAATCCAATGTTGCACGTACTTCTGCCTGGGCGAGAGTAATACCATCCCATAGTAGATCAGCAATGCGGATGAGATGTTCCTCGTTTGGATGATACTTTGCTGCAGCTGCTGGAGCAGAAATATGGGGGACAGCGTCACGGGCAAGCATTGGCAGAAACCCAATCGGCGTAAAATCTTCCTCCAAGATCTGGTTCGGTTTGGGGAGGTCTGAGAGCGGAAACGAGCAAGACATCACATTGAGGAATGCCACATAGGATGCCCAGAAGATTGTCAGACGAGCCGCAAGGTCTGACGAAGGTGGTTGATCCCATTCCGAGGATGCGAAACGTGAACACATCCATTTGCTAGCCAATCTTAGAGCGGGCAAAACACGACGCAGGATGGCAGAAATACGCAGTACGGGGCTTGCTTGGACGTCGGCTTGGCTCACTTCATCTTGAGCAATGGTAAAGAGATCGCTGATAAGGTCGAGAATATGGCATAGAATGGGCCAGGTGCTCGAAGACGATTCCACAGGTGCTCCACCATCCGAAGGCTCTCGTGTAGACACCTTTGAGTTTTCCGTACGCCAGAGGACAGCGAAATCCATGAGCAGCAGACGCACAAGAACTTCGGGAGGCAAAGTGCGCTCCACAATCAGGGAGTGAAAGCGGTTTTCGATAGAATGACACAACTTGGCAGATGTGGAGCGACTGGAGCAAGATGACACTCTACATTGCGGACGAAGAGAATATTACTCGCCTGTTCCTGGCCCAAAGACCATGCAAAATGACAACGTCCTGCTTTAAGGCATCTACGGCATTTGTGTGATCTTCCATAGGTGGACGAGATTCTTCATCCGTCTGGGCACGTCGGTACGTCTGTATCGCTTTGGATAACAACCTTTCGAGGTTTTCAGAAACAGTGCCGAAAGGCTGAGTTGTGCATGCAGCTCGGTAATAATAGTACAAAGCATCGAAGGAATTGGATTGATATGTAGCCAGGATTGCAAGCTGGTTGAACGGAGTTCCTATGCATGACACAAACTGAGAAGAGAGGCAGGTATGTACGTGACCATAGCGTACCATTATTCGGGGCGAGAACGATTGCGGCTTGATAATAAGCTTCGCTGGTTGTGAAATCCCTCGAGATTTTTCTTTCCATACTGTCGATCCCATTGCGACCTTTCGTTCTCTTGGAATTTGATTGGGCTTCGTTCAGATCGCGGTAGCGGGAAAGATCTCCTAAGTAAATGATAGATCGCTGCAACATGTCGATTTTATCGATCCGTTTTTCGTCGGTAACCATAGCCCGAGAGCTGTTCAAGTCTGGCTGGTTAACATCGTCGTCCAGCACGGGTTCTTCGGAAATTCCCACTTGGGCAAGAATAGAAAGCACCTCCATGAGTCCGTAAGAAGAAACGAGCCGAAGGCTGAATTGTCGCCAGAATTTCTCCTCTTGCAGAAGAAAAGTGCGAAAGCTTTGCGACACCTTTCGCAGCTCGACCGGGCCGTGGGCGCTACGCCGAAGATTGCCCCGGAGTTCGGCGCGATCGGCGCCAATGGCACTTTCTATTTGCTGTATACGAGCACGGTAGACGTCAATGATGGCGTGGGAAGTCTCAGACCACAGATGCTGCTGAGCCATATCTGCCCGTAAATCCTGGAATATGAGCTGGACATAATGATCTCTCAGCCTGTACGATGTGATGAGATTCGCAGCGGACGATTGGCTGGAGAAAGCAAAGGGTTTACCTTTGCCGCTGCAACTCCACAGCGCGATCCCAAGGAGGGGTGGACTTTAAGCTCTTCTTCAAGTCAAGTGCAAGGCCTTTCGCTTCCCTGACGGACATAATGAGTACGACATTGAAAGGATGAATGCCAAGCGCACCTCAGAACGGTGGACGGGTCCGAGTCTGCAGGGAGCGCCATATGCGTGACGTTGCAATAGATAGATGTCGAAGGAAAGAACACGAGCAGCTATTCGCTATTCCATTTAGGCCCGGAAGAGTGCAAATGTTGGGAGACCAGGCACCCGTAATATTGACGAGATGCAGTGTCTTCGGTACCGAGAGGTGATTGGCTGGTCCCGAGAAATAAATAGGCTCCGAACCCAACCGTGGCACTTTCACAGATACGCTGGTTCTGACTTTGTCATGACAATGGGTGTATGTCAACACATGATTATGTAGTGGGCTCTGCAGGCCTCTTACAACAGTACGTCTAAGGCTCTAGAGGTATTTAACAGAGAAAGACAGCGCCTGGGTATATACGGAGGATTCAAAGACGCTCGCCTCGGCCGATTACAGTTACCTATGAACATAGTCAATGACTAAAACTGGTAATCATCCACAGACAAACCTTGAAACCGATATCTCTCAACTTCTCCGCATCAAGCAAGAGACGGCCATCAAAAATGAAGGCAGGTTTGGTCATGTGGGAGTAGACTCCTTCCCAGTTTATCGTACGGAACTCCTTCCATTCCGTAGCAATGACTACTGCCTCCGCGTCGCGGCAAGCTTCCAAAGCTGAGCTTGCTATGCTGACCTGGCGCTTGACTTGAAACGAGTTAGTCAAGTACTCAGCGATGTAAGCATTCAGATCCTTACTGGTCTCAAGAGGGACTCCAGAGGAGGCTTCCATCAGGTCAGACCCTGCTTGTGGGTTAGCAAAAAAGCACCTGCAACCTGGTTGCATACGACTTGCAGATCTGTGAATGCAGCACCTGTAACACGAATCAGTATTAACCCCCGACACATCGGCTCAGGAATTCTCACCTGAGGATCATATATGGTTACCAGAGCTCGTTCCGCTTGGAAGTTCTTGATAAGGGTGATCGCGGCAGACTCCCGGGTGTCCCCTGTGTCAGCTTTGAAGGCAAATCCAAGGATGGCGATTTTCTGAATATCAGGTCAGAAAAGCAGCACAGTCAGACAAGATTTTTTCACCTTGCCAGTGATAGTGTTGAAAAGCGTATCAACCACTCTCTTTGAGAACCGGCCCTTCTGGTACTCGTTCATCTCCACTACCTGCCTCCAGTACGCGGCCACCTCAGGCAAATGGAGGCTCTCGCTCAAATACACCAGGTTGAGGATGTCTTTCTGGAAACAGCTCCCACCAAAGCCCACAGATGCCCGCAAGAACTTGGGGCCGACACGAGAATCCTTCCCCACAGCGTTGGCGACCTCATCGATATTGGCACCTGTAGCTTCACAGATAGCAGAGAGCGCATTGATGGATGAGATACGCTGTCAAGGTATGAGTGTTTCTACAGTTCAACATCGGACTAATCGAACCTGGGCAAGCATGGCATTGGCAGCCTGATGGGATGTCAGCTGACCGCCGCAAAGTAAGAGGATTTACGCACAAGCTTCGAAAGCTCAGACGACCACAGGCCAACGGTAACGATGCGTTCGATCCTTCAGAATAGGCCTCGTCAGAGTAGAGTCTGAATCACCTTTGAAATCGTTCTTACGGAACCCAATGAGCATAAACGTCAGTCAGAGATCGGCATGCGTCTTTTCCCTCTTTGGTTTGGAGAGAACCGATGAGAACGCGATCGGGGGAGAATAGATCGGTGATGGCAGTTCCTTCAGCCAGGAATTCCGGGTTGGAGAGGATATCAAACCGGCAACCCGGCTTGGAATTGGCTTCCAAAATGGTACGCATAGACTCGGCGGTGCGGCAGGGCACAGTCGATTTTTCAACCACGATCTTAGACGAAGTCGCCACGGCAGCGATGCGGCGGGTAGCCAGCTCGACATAACTGGGAAGATCTGAGTAAATTCAGGAACAGCGGCAAATTTGCACGTACTTGAGATCAGCAGCAAAGCCTGCGCCCACACCACTCTTTTTGGTAGGGGTGTTCACACTGACAAAAATGAGGTCCGCTTCGAGGATACCCTTATCGACGTCGGTGGAGAAGAATAGATTGCGACCGCGGCACTGGCGAACAACCTCCTCCAGACCAGGTTCGTAGATAGGAAGGTCAAAGTCATCCCTGAATTCATGAAGTATCAATCACCCAGAGAAAGAGGCAGTGGGATTCCGGGTAGACGCACGAGTTCCACGCGTCGACACGCGCCTTGTTCAGGTCAACAATGGTGACCTGAATCTCGGGGCATTTGAGCGCAATAACGGCACAGGTAGGACCACCTAGCAGGCAGGTTAAAGCTCTCTGGTGAGGCCTCAGCTAAAGGGAACCCATTTACCGACGTAGCCCGCCCCAACTAGCACCCATGACAGTGGTGAGGACGGTAACTTTGAACGATGTATACGGATAGAGGGGCTCACTGCAGCAGATTTTGGTGACCTTCACGGGTGCCATTTAGGAGAGGGAACAGAAAGAGTTATGATTAAGCGTGAGAGAGTGAGCAAGTGGACAGAGAGAGAGAGAGAGAGGCGAAGGAGGAACACGAAGGAGGCTCTATTATAGATACGAAAGCTTATAATGAACGTGCGACGCGACCCGGTGGCTGGTATTCGCGCTAGCGTCTTTTGGTCTGCGGTGTTCTTAGGAAGGCGATCTCAGATGCGATAAAAGTGGGGTGGACTCTCAAAGTCGTGATCGGTGGAACCTGCGCGTCCGTGATTGACGCTTTTCGTTCTCTGACAGGCCCGGAACGGAAATTGTCTGTGGTGGGCCTGGAAATGCGACAGACCCTATCTATCGGGCCCGCCAGTCGGGATCAAAATTATGGAATCCATGGGTAATAATGATGATGCTCTCCGCATGCTGCACCGTGAACCTCACACAGAGCGGCAGAGAACCGCTAATAGCAGGGGATGAGCAGCTTTCAAATGTAATCTGTCCCCTGTGGATCCTTCCTTGTACACAACAGGACACCACAGCCTCAGCACACGTACACATTTCAAGACTTACCAATGTAATCTCATGAGAGGGATTATGATGATGATAATGGTGATGATAATAATAATAATAATAATAATAATAATAATAATAATAATAATAATAATAATAATAATAATAATAATAATAATAATAATAATAATAATAATAATAATAATAATAATAATAATAATAATAATAATAATAATAATAATAATAATAATAATAATAATAATAATAATAATAATAATAATAATAATAATAATAATAATAATAAATAATAATAATAATAATATAA